GCCTTGGCGGCCGACCGACCGAAACGCCGTCGCTCCCCCAAAACCAGCCGCTCCACCACCTACATCGCGGCGTTCTGCGGCTGCCCGCCTGCCGCGCCGCCCGCCGCCGCCGCCGAGAACCGAACGCGCTCTGACGCCGTGACGGCGGCGGCAGCCGCCGTCGCGGTCGCCGCGCCGCCGCACACCGTTGTCATCCGTGCCGTGCCATGTTGCTGCGGTGCGTGCGTGCCGCCGGCGGGTCGTCGTGACGTGCGTGTGCGAGTGCGTGCGTGCGCGCGCTACGCGGCCGAGCGAACCAGCCGCAGCAGCAGACGAGACGCTTGCCCTTGGACACGACCGTCGCCCGACTGTTAATAATAATAATAATATTACACTGCTCGTCGTTGTGTACGTGTAATATTCTTATTCTTTTGTACGCCAGCGTTATTATATATTATTATACGCGTGCGTGTGTAACGTCGAAACACGCCGGCCGCCGCCCGCTCGCCCCCTGTCGCCGTAGTGCCAACCAGTTCGCCCGACCCTCCTCGCCCGTCGTCGCCGGCACCCGAACGGACGACAGCGACCCACACGCGGCGCGTTTAACCGTGAACGACGACGTCGCCGCTCGGGGTTTTTTCATTCTACGTACGATTCGGTTTGCGCCGTCGTCGTCGTCGTCGTCATCGTTTGTTTCGCCATTATTTCGTCGACGGTCCTGGACGGACCGGTGCGATACCGCAACGATTGTATTGAGTCGAGAGAGAAACCGTTTGGCAATTCGTCAGCCACGAACAGTGGTGTTATTTTTGGGGAGGGGAGAACGGAGGGCGCGAACGCCATCGTTCTGGGGGTGCCAAAGCGTTGTAAAAATTTGTACGTTTTGCGTAAACATATATATTATATATTACATTTGGTACGTTCATATAATGTCCAAGTCCAGCAGACGACTTTAAACGTTTCACACTAGAAACGCGAACCAAATAAAAGTACACGAATATAGTATTATTGATTATTTTCACTTTTATTATTGGAAGGGCGTGAGTGATAGTCATTAAATTACACTATAGGGCGGAAAGTGTATAAATACGTCACCGTTGAAGAACATAACGGTTCATCTATACATATGAATTGTATATGTGTGTGCGTGTGTGTGTTTATATGCACATTTATATAACGTGCTACAAAATAGGTTTATCAGACATCCCTTGTAAATACAAGGACGTTCAATTGTTCGATCAAGTGTTGTCCGGAGTACGAGATGAAAATACTTCGTGTCTTACTAAAGGTCCCGTACAATTTCAAATTATAATAATTGTAATAATTATATAGCTCTAGTATATAAATGTATATATAATATATTTTATAGTACATGCTATAAAGTAATAACAAATAATTATTTCTAGTTTAGGTGTTTGCTCCGCATTAAGACTGATGTAACACCGCAATTCATAAATCAAAACAAGTGCATAAAACAAATTAAAAGAAAAAAAACTTTATAATTTTTATATTCCATAATTCATTTTTGCAATGAGACTCAGCAATTTAAACAATTTTATATTAATATAATTATAAATTTGTTTCACTAATCCTAAAACTATTCGTATATCATGATATTTTTATAAATTGTGAAAAATAATATGGTTTTGATCTAATCGTAATTATTAATTATTACAGTACATGGTAAAAATGAATTCAATCGCATCTTCGAAGTAGGTAATGGTAAACACCGCCTGGTCAGAGTAATAGCAACCAGTATACTACAAAACGTCATAATTTATAAGTTATAACAAACACGTTTTCGTATACGACTACGGCGGTGGTACCTATACGCAGTAATATGCACGAAGACGTGGGTCAAACCTACTCAGTTTTACGCGATTTATCATACAGAAATTCACCCTCAGTCCTCACCTAAATAAATTCGGTTTCAACCCCTCATTGTATCGTCTGCATTTATAGTCTATATGGTTCGAATATAATAATAATGTAGTTTCGATAGGTACCTATAACTATATATGTAATTGCAACGTCCGATGTACACATACTTTTAACATATTACTCATTAATTATACATATATTTTTAAAATTCGCATTTTAATGTACCTACTCCGACGATTGGGGATATTATTAACTATAATTAGCGGGCTGCGATATTAAAATGTTTTCGGCGAATCCAACGACTTCTTTCTGCCACTCAACTTATTGAAAACAGTACTATTTGTTTATACGACACACTGAATTTAATCTTGTTCACTGTTCATGTTCATGTCGCATGAATTGCATTTTATATTTCTATACGATTTGATTTTATCAATGAAACCCATTTATATATTATAATTTATAATATAAACCTAAGGTTATAGCTTTTTTTTTTCATCAAATCAGTCAAATCGTTCGAATTCTTGTATATATGATATAAAACGCAATTATTGTAGATAAGAAAATATCGTTCTACAGCTGTTGAATACTTGAATGGATTGTGATTTCATTCTCGTTTTTATACTATATTATTAAAGCTGTGTTACCCGATTTTGACCGGGAACAAAATAAATGAACGATTATTATTAAAATATGATGCTCACGGTTTACTTTGGTGAACCTACCTTATAAAAAGTTACGATTTACGATTATTAACGATATAAAATCATTGTAATCTGTATGCATTGATAAAACGAATTAATACGATTTTATGCTACACATATTTTTTATTATTTGTGGGCGAAATGAGCTAGTTTAAGGTTTCGCCCATTTGACCATTGCTTGTTTATTATTGGTAATTACTTATAATACAATATAAGTATGAACTGTATTTTCTACAATTAAATATATCTACTACTGTAATCGTATAAAATTTTATTAAGTTTAAGCATAACTGCATAACTGCCATTATAATTTATTAAATTACCTCAATGAACATTGAACACAATATTTTGAAGTTGGCTCAAACACTAAAGCCTATATATTGGCTATTATTTGAATCACAAACACTAGCCTCGAAGTAGAATCGATAAATCAAAAAAAAAATATTATTACATTTTTACTGGCCACGTTCTATAAGAATTTTGTACTCGAACTATATTTTATAGGTTCTAATGGTAGTTGATATTATATATGCATTTTATTTATTTTCATCACTAGTAGTCGTATAAATACGTATTACATAGGTACATTTTTATGGAATTTGTTAATTTATTTCCTTTAAAATATAAACTTTATTTAATATTATTTATGGTCTTGAAACTTTGTGGAATAGAATAGTGAACCGTAGTAGTATAAATCGAAATATATAATATATTATAGACCAGCGGTTCTCAATCTTTTTAGTATTACAACCCAAATTTCCATCGAAAAATCTTTAGTGACCTACATGGTTTCACTTTTCAAAAAGTAGTTAAATAAAAAAAAAAAATGTTTAATTTAAAATAATATAATATAATATATTTTAATTTTTTTAACAAAATTTGTTCATTAGGTTTAAATTATTATTTTTATTATTGTATAGGTTTATAATCAATATATTTTTACAGATGTACTTTTATTAATAATAATGTACTTAATATTAATTTAATATACATTTCTTGGAATTTGTATTATTTAAAAAATTGTTCGCAACCCACTAAAAATTGACCGACGACCCACCAGTGGGTTGCGACTCACAGTTTGAGAAACGCTGTTATAGACAAAGTTATCGGCCAATGTGTTCATTGCACTATGGTACTGCCCAATTTTGACAGGTAATGATGTCAAAATAAATAAGAATTAATTGAAACATTTTACTAGGATAAATAACATGTTTAAATATTGAATTAATTAATTCAATAATTTATCTGAAATTTTACATTTTATATTTTTATGAATAAATATGAATCATATTTTGATGATTCAACTCGTGATATAAAATGATCAAATTCATTAATTAACTTGGGAGTTGAACTAGTAGTAGTCAGTAGACATACACTTTGAGTACTTTATACACTTGGTGAATAAATTAATCCCGCCCAAGTGTAGTACAAGCGAACATTCGTTTATAATTATAATATTTTTCAAACAGCCTACTTTTGATTAGACCATTCATTTTTATTTACACTGAGTAGATAAAATCCGTTAACGTCTACCCATGATTAATTTTAGAGAACATTTGACTAACACATTGTTTTAATAGTGTCTATTCACACTGGACGGATGTTTGCTGCGCATTTCCGTGATTATTTCTATTTAGTAGTAGATAATAGTGGTCGTAGTGGTCTACTGCAATTTCTGCCGTTCTTAGTGACCCGTCTATTATCGAGCATCAATCGTAATATTTCTTCTTAACATTTTTAAATTACAAACGATTTTTACTTAATAACTGTGATTTTTGAGTATTTTGAATAGTATGTTTTGCTATTGAAATATCGCTTGGGAATAAACATAATAAACGTAATTTCGCCCACTCATTTTAACATATTAACTCAAAATGCTTATAAATAGTTATTTGTAAATATTTGTGAATTATAAATTAAATACGGATGGATGAACCAATTTTATGTAGCTTACCCAAGTTGTTCTTAAATTTTAAAATCGGTATTAAATGATACCTTTTTATTTTTAAGAATTTGCTAATCTAATTTTTAAATTTGCTAACACTGTTTTTAATCTTTCGCACCAGACACATTTTCAAAATTCTCCCTAAAAATTAAAATTTAATATTTGAAATTTTTTTGTTATTATCTTTGGTTTTGCTGATAGTTTGTTTTTGTTATAATAAAAATAAAAAGTTTTTACATTTGGTGGAATTGGCAAGAATTATATGAAAAAAATTGTCACTAATTGTGTGCACCAGTCACCAGAGCAAAAAAACATTGCATGTGCTCATGCTGATAATGAGTCAAAAATTAAGGTCTATGAAAATATTTTTCGTATTTATTTATCTATTTATAACTGATTATTATTATTGTACTATGTATTATATACTATAGCAGGTGTCTACTAAAAAACTTTATTTTTTCCTGAAATGTAATATAATATTTTAGTACTATTTAAGTTTCCTCCACTTCAACGGATTTGAATACTTAAATGACCTGCCATTTATAGTAGGTAATATTCAACATAATATTGTGTTGTGTGTATGGAAAGTGAAAACAGTAATATGCTTCAATGTCTATCTTCTCTATAGTTGTGGTTTATCCTATAGTAATATATAATATTATATTTAATCATATCACAATCAGCATATACGATACATATAAACGTGGTAAATAGTAAGTTATGTATACTATTATACGTACATACATAAATTATATGAAAATAAGTTCTTACATTATTTGTTCATTTTCTATGCTAGTACAACCAAATTTATAATA